AAGTGTGGTGTAATTTAAATAGCCTTTATTTTTCCATTTTGAACTGTAGTAGTGATCAGAAACAACTGAAAGAGAAATAGCTATTTGCTGCACATCTCACACTGAGGTTTATCAATAATAGGAGCTTAAAAGGTGCTGTTCAGCTCACTTGAGAAATTTTTCTGGCTTCCTCTTACTGTCATAAAAGGCATGATAAGTTGCATGTAGTCACTGTTGACACTACTTGTCCCCAGTTTCTGTCTGACTGTTCCTGTGGTGGTGGTAGTGCAGATACCTGTTTTAATTAAAATAACACCTGAGGATAGGGAGAAAATGTGCATCTTCTTAAAGCAGTGATTATATTCTTGCTAATTCCTTACAAGATGTTTCTAGCTTATATTTCTGGTCGATCCCACAGGTATGACAAAAGGAAAATTGAGTGAATGGGTTGAAAATGCCAGTATCTGTCATTGTCCCTTCCAGCAGCCGAGAAGGGGAGAAAAGGAGAGGGCAGTACTGTCCCAGCAGACTGCAGTAAGCTAGCAGATGGCAGAAAAAGAAAAGATCCTGCTGTAAGTGGAGAAGCAGGAAGACAAAATAGCTTCAGTGTGTCATCCTGATGCTGTATGTAAGGATGCTGTGTTTGTCTATGGTGAAACTTCTGAATCTTGCAATGTCATGGCTCGGTCTTCCTAATGGGACGGACACAAGGGTGTCACCTCACGATTATTTTTTTGCTGTCCCTGATACAATGTGTAACAACGTGAGTCTCTGGCTTTTCAGGAATGAGGGCTAACTAACCTGGAGGCTCTGGCTTGGGGCAGCCTTGATAGCTGAACTCAGAAATCAACATCAAACCCTAACACTTGTATGTGCAACAAAAATAGCACTTAACAAACCAGTGAGCCATCAGTGGCAGCAGAGTGAGGGGGAGCTCTTCCTCCCGTGCCCGATGTTACAAATCTGCAGTTTCTCCTGAATGATCAGTTATCTGATTCTGTGTGCTCACCACCCAAGACTCTTCAGTTGCATTTCTGCAAACAGACTTGGGCGGGGGGAATCGAATGAACAAACGGATCAACTTCCCTGCGCAGCTCTGGACTGTTCTAGCGTACAAACAGTCCATCTGGTTTTCAGAACTGAAATAATCCTGGTTCTCATGGGACTTTTCTCAGCTTGTTTCTGATTGCATTATTATTTG